ACACATTACCTTATATTCCTAAATCCAATAAGCCTTCAAGCTCATACAGCTTGGAGTTGGACAATATGCATAAAAATGGTGATTCGGTCAAAATACTCACTTGCCTAATAATTGCGCACACAGTGTAAGCAGTGCTGGGCAGTCATCCAAGCAGAACTTCCATTTTCATGTAAGGTCTACTTTGACCCACTTAGGCTGTGTTGATTTCATAGTTACATAGTTACATAGTATTTGAGGTTGAATAAAGACATTAGTCCATCAAACATATCCCGAGCTCGAGAGTGATCTGAATTAGTAGAAGAGAAGTAGAAAGTCAGAGGCCGACGTGACCCCAGGGTTATCACAAACTAACCCATCAGACATTAACATACATTTATCTAAATTATTATGCCTGTTTATGGAAAGATCTTATGGTTGTTGGATGTTACAAGTGCCATCTTATACATGTACTTAGCTGTATAGATTTCAGAAGACAGTGGGTAGCAATGAACAATCATCATTCTAACTTTTGTTTGAAAATCTGTAAAATCATTCATTAGAACATTCGATCTTGCCAGCTAACTAATTGTGTTCAAATGCCACCCAGACTGGCTACTTGCCGGATGTATTAGGGCTGGTTCTGGTCGTGCACGATTCGTTTCGTTACAATTTGGAATTCGGACGAATTTAAATCATTACTAATACCAATAGTAACAAATTTCAACAAATCCAAAAGTAATTCTAATGAAATTTAGGGGCCATTTGTTTCATTCGGGTGTTGAGATTCCTTTTTTGAATGTGGTTGGAAAAAAATCATACCATCTGAACCTTCGTATCATCCTAATCCACATCCCGAACCAAATTGAATTTCAGACAACTCGTCCACTTCCTTTTAGTAGCCTGTCTTCTGAAATAACAAATCGTACGTGATAACGAACAACCGACCGTCCGAAATTACGAATTGATCCATAATGAAAAACTAATTTTGACGAAATAACGAATTATTCCAAATACGAATCATTCTAATCTAAAGACTATGACGAAACAAAATGATTTGCTTGACGAATAGAAAAGAAACACATTTTTTGCTGGCATACATGGTTCCCCCCACAGCCATTGTGCTGTGTGGGGCAGTAGTGGCCAACGCAAGGCAAACAGCTTTGTTTTCAGTAGATGTAGTTGACACCTGTGTTGAGATGCATTAAAATGATGCCTGCATCATTTAATTGCAGCTGTCCAACGCATTCACAATGCACCACAATGAAGTAACACTTGCGCTGTGGTGTGGACCCAGACTAAAACAGGTTTCTTTTGTGCCTAGCACATGCTCATTACAATATGTGTGCGATTTTTCACGAACACAAATCACATTTACAGAATTGCATTTGTTCACATAAGAAACCAGAAACATTTTCCATCCAGTGTCTTTGAATTTTCTTGTCCATGCGAATGACTATTGATTTGTCCTCTTTAAATATTAGAAAATTGAACAAACGTTCTGAAAATACATATTTTCAAAGAAAATTCTGCTATCTATCTATCTATCTGTCTACCCAACTATCTATCTGTCCATCTATCTATCTGTCCATCTATCTTTCTGCCCATCTATTTATCTGCGTATCTATCTATCTATCTATCTGCATATCTAATTATTTATCCACGTATCTATCCGTGTATCTATCTGTGTATCTATCCGCGTATCTATCTATCTAACTGCGTATTTATCTATCTAACTGCATATCCATCTATCTATCTCTCTATCTATCTTTCTATCTCGCTATCTATCTATCTCTCTATCTATCTATCTACGTATCTATCTATCTGCGTATCTATCTATCTATCTGCGTATCGTATCTATCTGTGTATCTATCTGCGTATCTATCTATCTATCTATCTATCTATCTATCTATCTATCTATCTGTGTATCTGTGTATCTATCTATCTGCCTATCCCTCTATCTAGCTGCGTATTTATCTATCTAACTGCATATCCATCTATCTATCTGCATATCTATCTATCTATCTGCGTATCTATCTGCGTATCCTATCTATCTATCTATCTATCTATCTATCTATCTGCGTATCTATCTGCATATCTATCTATCTATCTATCTATCTATCTATCTATCTATCTGCATATCTATCTATCTGCGTATCTATCTATCTGCGTATCTATCTGCCTATCCATCTATCTATCTGCCTATCTATCTATCTCTGTATCTATCTGTGTATATCTATCCATCGATATATCTGCTTATCTATCTATCTATCTATCTATCTATCTACATATATATCTACATATCTATCTATCTATCTATCTATCTATCTATCTATCTAGCTATCTATCTATCTACATATCTATCTATCTACATATCTATCTATCTATCTATCTATCTATCTATCTATCTGCGTATCTATCTATCTATCTATCTATCTATCTATCTATCTGCGTATCTATCTATCTATCTACATATCTATCTATCTATCTATCTATCTATCTATCTATCTATCTATCTATCTATCTATCTATCTATCTATCTACCTATTACAGGCACACAGTTATGTAATGTTATGTGTTACTAAACAATTGCCTAGTATCAGTGGTGCACAACTTTTTTGTTAATGCAGTTCTGAAGCATTTAGCATTAGAGAAAATTGTAGAACACAAATTTGGAGTGAGATGCTTGGAAAGATCCTCTTGACTGCTATGAGGCAATAATAGATCTGTGAGTCACAGTATCCTTCCATGGGAGGTATTTGGTTACAAACCTTTTATGGGCCCTGCTCAGCTGGGATATCTGTATCTGCATTATACCTCCCTTCTATTCTTAGTGGCACTTCAAGCCGAGTGAACAGGCAAGATTACAATAACCTTATAATTGTGTGAAGCACACTCTTTTTTTTCCCCTCTTCTGCGTTCTTGCCTTTTTCATTTCATTTGACCTTGGTGAAAACGCTTATATTATCTGTTTTTATTTTTCTCAGAGCCTGCAAGTGGCTGTGTTAAAAGTTTGGAAAAAATGGCTCACAATGTATCCCTCGCTGGACCAGGCCCGTGGGGATTCCGGCTGCAAATATCTGCATATCTATCTATCTATCTATCTATCTATCTATCTATCTATCTGCATATCTATCTATCTGCGTATCTATCTATCTGCGTATCTATCTGCCTATCCATCTATCTATCTGCCTATCTATCTATCTCTGTATCTATCTGTGTATATCTATCCATCGATATATCTGCTTATCTATCTATCTATCTATCTATCTATCTACATATATATCTACATATCTATCTATCTATCTATCTATCTATCTATCTATCTAGCTATCTATCTATCTACATATCTATCTATCTACATATCTATCTATCTATCTATCTATCTATCTATCTATCTGCGTATCTATCTATCTATCTATCTATCTATCTATCTATCTGCGTATCTATCTATCTATCTACATATCTATCTATCTATCTATCTATCTATCTATCTATCTATCTATCTATCTATCTATCTATCTATCTATCTACCTATTACAGGCACACAGTTATGTAATGTTATGTGTTACTAAACAATTGCCTAGTATCAGTGGTGCACAACTTTTTTGTTAATGCAGTTCTGAAGCATTTAGCATTAGAGAAAATTGTAGAACACAAATTTGGAGTGAGATGCTTGGAAAGATCCTCTTGACTGCTATGAGGCAATAATAGATCTGTGAGTCACAGTATCCTTCCATGGGAGGTATTTGGTTACAAACCTTTTATGGGCCCTGCTCAGCTGGGATATCTGTATCTGCATTATACCTCCCTTCTATTCTTAGTGGCACTTCAAGCCGAGTGAACAGGCAAGATTACAATAACCTTATAATTGTGTGAAGCACACTCTTTTTTTTCCCCTCTTCTGCGTTCTTGCCTTTTTCATTTCATTTGACCTTGGTGAAAACGCTTATATTATCTGTTTTTATTTTTCTCAGAGCCTGCAAGTGGCTGTGTTAAAAGTTTGGAAAAAATGGCTCACAATGTATCCCTCGCTGGACCAGGCCCGTGGGGATTCCGGCTGCAAGGAGGAAAGGACTTTAACATGCCCTTGACCATCTCCAGAGTAAGTGCAAAGATGCGACACACCAACACTGTTTAGTGCCGAGATCACCTTGAACAAATTGTGTGTGTGATATAAATGCATGGTATTCCACAGGGTGAGAAGTGTTTGAGTTGGAGAAAATTCAAAGGATATTTGTGAAAAGTGTTAGAACTGTACCAATTAGTCGTAGTGGTTCCAGATTAATCTGCTTAACCCCGTGCAGCCTATTAATCCTGACCTTACATAATGCAAAGTGTGTCTAAATTGCAAAACTGTGCTTACTGTAGATTGTTAAATGGAATAATAATGACTGTGTATTTAAAGATGCTAAAGTGTGACATGTGCCTGCTGAAACACACAGAAAACAAATGTAGTGCAATGCTTTGCAGTACATTAGTGATGTTTATTACATGCAATAGTGAGTGGTTTAAAGCCTTTGCAAGGTATATAGATATGTACAAATTGTTATGGTTTGTCTTACTTGTAATGTGTTAATCTGATGAGACATTGCATACTGTTGTGACCCTAACCCTCAGTGTATCATTTTCTGAGACATAAAATATGTTTTATTGTTTTGGGACCCTAAACCCCTGTTCACATCTTTACAATGCGGGAGCATTATTTATTAATGGCACCCCAAAACACCTAACCATTGCATGTGAGATACCTATTACAGGCACACAGTTATGTAATGTTATGTGTTACTAAACAATTGCCTAGTATCAGTGGTGCACAACTTTTTTGTTAATGCAGTTCTGAAGCATTTAGCATTAGAGAAAATTGTAGAACACAAATTTGGAGTGAGATGCTTGGAAAGATCCTCTTGACTGCTATGAGGCAATAATAGATCTGTGAGTCACAGTATCCTTCCATGGGAGGTATTTGGTTACAAACCTTTTATGGGCCCTGCTCAGCTGGGATATCTGTATCTGCATTATACCTCCCTTCTATTCTTAGTGGCACTTCAAGCCGAGTGAACAGGCAAGATTACAATAACCTTATAATTGTGTGAAGCACACTCTTTTTTTTCCCCTCTTCTGCGTTCTTGCCTTTTTCATTTCATTTGACCTTGGTGAAAACGCTTATATTATCTGTTTTTATTTTTCTCAGAGCCTGCAAGTGGCTGTGTTAAAAGTTTGGAAAAAATGGCTCACAATGTATCCCTCGCTGGACCAGGCCCGTGGGGATTCCGGCTGCAAGGAGGAAAGGACTTTAACATGCCCTTGACCATCTCCAGAGTAAGTGCAAAGATGCGACACACCAACACTGTTTAGTGCCGAGATCACCTTGAACAAATTGTGTGTGTGATATAAATGCATGGTATTCCACAGGGTGAGAAGTGTTTGAGTTGGAGAAAATTCAAAGGATATTTGTGAAAAGTGTTAGAACTGTACCAATTAGTCGTAGTGGTTCCAGATTAATCTGCTTAACCCCGTGCAGCCTATTAATCCTGACCTTACATAATGCAAAGTGTGTCTAAATTGCAAAACTGTGCTTACTGTAGATTGTTAAATGGAATAATAATGACTGTGTATTTAAAGATGCTAAAGTGTGACATGTGCCTGCTGAAACACACAGAAAACAAATGTAGTGCAATGCTTTGCAGTACATTAGTGATGTTTATTACATGCAATAGTGAGTGGTTTAAAGCCTTTGCAAGGTATATAGATATGTACAAATTGTTATGGTTTGTCTTACTTGTAATGTGTTAATCTGATGAGACATTGCATACTGTTGTGACCCTAACCCTCAGTGTATCATTTTCTGAGACATAAAATATGTTTTATTGTTTTGGGACCCTAAACCCCTGTTCACATCTTTACAATGCGGGAGCATTATTTATTAATGGCACCCCAAAACACCTAACCATTGCATGTGAGTTGCTTTGCACCACAACGTATGGTAACCTATTACCATGTGATGTGATTTAAAAAAAAAAAAGGGTGATTTGGATCTAGAAAAAGATGCAGAATCAAATGAATGGGCTGCCTTACCACACCTCATAGAGGTGTGAACAAGGCTTAGTACAAATTTAAATTTTGTTATGACAACCTAAAACCTGGGACACCATTAGGATCTTAACCCCTGGGTTATGTATCTAAAGCTGGCCATACACTGGTAGTTTTTTTTGTAATGCCAGCAGAGGCTGGAATGAATGCCATTTCCCAACCAAAAATCACATTTAGGGCTTGTTCACACCATGTGAGGACCAGAACAGTTTTTCTCTGCACCTGAAATGCATCCCAATGTATTCCTATAGTATTTAAGGGGTCTGTTCACACCAGTGCAGTCCTTCCGGGACGCACCAAAACACATGTAAATGCATCACAAACACACGTAAACGCACTGGACTGCACCTGAAAGCTCATTTTAAGCTAAAAAAACACACCAGAAAATGTCACAAACGCACCAAAACTTATTAAAAACGCATTGCACTGCACTCCAGACACAGTGTGAACAAGCCCTCAATGTAAGAATTTCATTCATTTGAGAAAAATTTTCCATCGTGCTCCTTTGTTTTTTGTTTTGTCATTACAGTCCATAATGATTGTCGATTTGACCACATTATCTATTAGGAATATAAAAGAACTTTCCACAAAAAAAACAAATTTTTTTCCTAATGAAATTCTACTTGTGTAAGGCCAGATTTACGTCACTTAATAAATGACATTTGTTAGTGTGATGTTACATGATTGGGTTAACAGAACACAGTTCATTTCATTGAAGATAGCAGTGTGCCTTTTCATGGAAGGCAGATACAATTTACATCAGCCCAGCGGGTTCCAGCATTTTCTGTAAGAGAGCATTGCTGCTCACATTTGTGTGACATAAGGGAGCTTATCTCCTTTAAAAATTCATCCCGAGCTTATGTTTCAGTTATTAGTTGACCATGAAGATTAAAGACTGTGATCTTCTACTTAAAAGAATGCAATATGCAAACCACTTGTCTGATGCTGCCCAATCAGATCGTTAATCAGATGTGATGAAAGATCTGACATGTGCCTTGCTGTGACTGCTGGGGCAGCGAATTCAATCTGCTTCTTTAATTATTCGCCTCATGCTCATTTTTTCCTCAACACAGCTTAGAGATCCTCAAACGTAGATACAAATCTCCAACGATGGCATAGTGAAGAAGTTTATCCATACAAGCGATCATTATTGTTTATTTGTTAACCCATACACTTCTCAATTATCACTTGTATCACTCTGATCAGTGCAGTGGTGGCCTGTATTAGGATACCTATAGACACGAGATTAAGTTCCTAAATCTGGAGACAATCTCATATCTATAGACAGATTCCAACCCTTCCAGCTGGACACTGTCTGTCAAAACAGTTGATCGGGCATACTAGAAAACCTGTCTCAATCAATATTGTTTCCCTATGAGACAAGCAGCAGTGGAGCCCCCTGCCACCGCCGATCATCACTAGCTGTGGGGGAATCAGTTTGGAAACCTGGTAAACTGGTGAATCTGCAAACTGCAATTGTTTTGCTTTCCGAAACATTATTGCCCGGAATTGTAAGTTACAAGATTGTCCACAGTTCTTACAGATCTACATTCACATATTTAAGAGAATTAAATAAACACTGGCACTGCCATTATCACTCATTTCCCCCCCCCCCCCCCCCCCTCCCGAAGAGAACACAAGT